GTACCCAAAGTTTGGTGCAAGGCGCTGGCACAGACTATGTTTGTTTCACACCTAAGTGATGCAGTTGACATGGAGACCTGCAGCTCCCTCTGAGGAGGAGAGTAGAGGGAGAGCTCTTTGCATTGACACAGCCCCACAGAGACCCTATGCCAACGCACGTGGCCATTGCGGCAGGCTGCCAAGGGAACAATAAACATGCTGGCCACTGCCTTTGTTTTAATTGCTGCCCAGTGCATGCCAAGCTGTGCAATTAGGATTTGTTTCCATTCCCTCTGCAGTTGTCAAGGTTTGCACTTAAGAACTGTTCATTGTGTTTTCATTTTAAGGACAACAAAGTCCCATCTTCTTGGCTTACGAAGGAGCTTTGTTGTTTCCCAGACACCAAATCTCATTTGTTTGTAAACTGTACGATGAATCGCACAGATGCCCAAAGAGCCCATAGGCCCGGGTTAACCCTGCAGTGAGATTTACAAGCACAAAACTATTTTAAATGCATGAGGATTCAAAGTGAGCACAAGAACCACCACAGTGAGCAGAGCACTCGCCTAAACCAGCAGACTCGGACTTGTGTTTTGTGTCTGAAAACCCACTCTTCTCTCATCCATGGCCAGGCCCGTCCCCAGTCTCTGTCCTCTTCAGTTGTCCCAGCACAACTGTTGCAGGATTATGCAGGTGGAGTGGATCTGAGCTTTTAACCTTTGAGTTTATTTTTCAACTCAAATCAGTTTGCTGATCTAGCTTATCACAATGCCCCACAGACAGCGATACTGGCCCAGCCAAGGTAACAGAAACCAGTGGCTGGGATGAAAAAGGGGATGACAGGCCCTCTTTGCTGCTGGGAAAAAAGTTTCATGGGATGACGATGGGAGAGCAAAAGGTACAACAAAATTTTACACAGATACGTCAAATTTGCAAAAATGCATCAGAACAAAAAATTCCCCACATTAGTAGTAATTTAAGTTCTCCGAGAGAGGTGCTGGAGACATCATGGGGATATGTCCCTGAGGATGGGTGTCATGAGCTTGCTCAACCTGCCCAGAAGGTCTCTCAGTGTCTAGCTGCACATCCTTAATCCACATTGTCCAAGTCGTGGCACGCCTCTGTGACCGAAGCAGGTGCCTCAAGCTCTGTAATTAGCATCTCCCCATCCTCCCATTACTGTCCCAATAGTGCCTTTTGCAGCTGCTTGGGAAAGAATTAGACAACCCTTCTCTACAGCCATATTGCAGTGAAAGGCTTCATCAGCAATGGTAGCAAAAGGTAAGCAGAGGTTTTATACCATGGCAAATGGCCCTGCTTTCCCCAAGGGAAAAAGAAAAGCTTCCTTGCAAAGTGCCAGGACCAGAAACTTTCTTAGACCAATACACGCTGACATAAAACTAGTGCAGTGCTGATCCAGGCCTTGGATCACCAAAGAGAAAAATTGCTTTGATTTGAGCGGACTGAAGCTTAGTATAAAAGACAAAAAAAAAAAAAAGGAGAAATATAGGTTCTGGTAGTTGTGCCAATGCAACTAGGTTATTGTACATCTGCAAAGCCATTAATCACCTCCCGAGGACTGGCAGCCATGGCGGTATCTGGTGCGTCCGGAACGTAGCAGCTCCGCCTCGCTGGCAGTGCCCACATGAAGGGAAGGGTGAGCACGCGAACCTGCGCACAAAGGGGGAGACACGGGCGGTTTGTGGGGTGGTAAGTAGCTCCCCCAACTTACTTGTGCATGTTGAGCAGTTTTGTCCAGCGAGGTAGGCCTGAGGGAGGGGTTTTTTTCCAATGTGTTTTGGGTGGGGAAGGGGAAGGGAAGCACTCTCCCAGGTTCTGGGGAGTTAGCTTGGAATTCCAATTAGCTTGGGAACATGCAGGGATACCAGGAAACGGCACCACACCCAAACCAAAGGCATGCGCAGGGTGACACCCCACCCGGGCCTGGGCAGGCAACCACGCCAGGCGGGCAGCCTGGCGAAGAAGGGGCTCCAACCACCCGCCAGCACTGCTTTTGGTG